GGCTGTTGTGCATAGGGTCGCTATGAGTCGCAAACGACTCGACGTCATATAACAACAACAGCAACATAATATATAATCAATAAGAGAGAAAAGAGCTATTTTGAAAAAGTAGCCTGATCTCAGAAGCCTCAATTCTGTACGTAAGTGGAACATACAAATCTTGTTACTCAGTTAGTACAACTCTGATATCTCATCTTATATGCAAACAAGATTCTGCTGAAGATTATCCAGAAACGACTGGAACAATAGAGAAATGTTGAAGTGCAGGCTGGGTTTAGAAAAGGCCGTGGTCCTTGGGATATTGCAGCTAATGTCAGATGGATCTTGGCTGAAAGCAGGGAGTAATAGAGGAATGTCTATCTGTGTTTCATTGACTGTGCACAGGTGTTTGACTATGTGGATAGTAACAAACTGCCTGACTCTGAGAAGAATGGAAATCCTAGAACACTTGATTGTGTTTATGCGAAACCTATACTTGGACCAGGAGGCAGTCGTCAGAACAGAGCAAAGGAACTCTACATAGTTCAAAATTGTGAAGTGTGTACTCCAGTGATGTGACCTATCTCCATACCTTTTCAGTCTGTATTCAGAACAGATTAACTGGGAGGCTGGGCTCTATGAGGAGAAATGTAGCATCAGGATTAGAGGAAGACTCATCAATAATCTGCGTTATGCAGATCACACAACTCTACTTGCTTAAACTGAGGAGAACCTGAAGCTTTTGCTGCAGAGGGCCAAGGACTGCAGCCTTCAATATTGATTGAAGTTCACTATCAAGAAAACAAAGATTCTCACCACTGGGTCGATTGATCGATGGTGAAGAGATTGAGATTGTTAACAGATTGTGTTTGCTTGGCTCCACAATTAACAGCCAGGAAATTAAAAGATGAATTGCATTAGGAAAGTCGACTGTCAGAGACCTCTCCAAAGTACTGAAGAGCAACCGATGTCAGTCTGGAGACTAAGGTGTGCCTGATCCTGGAATTAGTCTGAGATACTTCACACAGCATAATGTCCTCCAGGGTCACCCATTTTGAATAATATTTCGTGAGTTCCTTGTTTTTCATTGCAGCATAGTATTCCATTGTGTGAATATACCACAGCTTCTCTGTCAATTCATTCGTTGATGGGCACTTAGGTTGTTTCCTGCTCTTTGCTATTGAGAACAAAGACACAGTAAACATGGGTGTGCATATATTTGCTTGTGTGGCGGTTATTGTTTCTTTAGGGTATATTCCCAGTAGTGGAATTGCTGGGTCAAATAGTATTTCTATTTGCAGCATTTTGAGAAAGCGCCATACAGCCTTTCATAGTGGTTGCACCATTTTACACTCCCACCAACAGTGAATAAGAGTTCCAGTTTCTCCACAACCTTGCCAGCATTTGATGTTTGCTGTTCTGTCAAATTTTGCTATTCTTATTGGGGTGAGATGAGATCTCATAGTTGTTTTGTATTTCCAACTTTTTCAGAAAGTACCAAACTGCCTTCCTTGGTGACTGTACCATTTTTTTGTTGTTATTATGTACTGTCAAGTTGCCTGTGACTCAACAGCCCTATATACAACATCCCTAACCCCTGCTCTTTCCCTTGCCTATCTTATTGTCACCGGCACACTTATCCCCATTACTGCAGTGACTGAATCAGTCGATCTCATTGAGGATATTTCTTGTGTTGTCCTTCCACCCTCCCAAGCATGACATCCCTCTCTAAGGACTGATCCCGCCTTGCAACATGTCCAAAGTATGTCAGACAGAACTGCAGAATCCTTGCCTCCAAGAAGCAGCCTGGCTTCACCCTCTCCAGGACGAAATTCTTTGTTCTCGTAACAGTCCATGGTGTATTCAATACTCTTCTCCAGCACCACAGCTCAAAGGCATCAGTTCTCCTTCTATCATCCGTAGTCATTATCCAGCTCTCTGATGCACAGCAAGTTAATTGCAAAGACCATGACCTGTATCAGGCACTCTTTAGTCTGCAGACTGACATCGTTGCTCTTCAGTACTTTGAAGAGGTTTCTCACAGCGAATTTTCCAATGCAATTCATCTTGTAATTTCCTGGCTGCTGGTACCAAGAGTGTAGAGCCAGTCACATTAAAACTGTCAACAATCTCAATCTTTTCACCATCTATCATAATGCCAGTCAGCCCAGTGGTGAGAATCTTTGTTTTCTTAACATTGAGCTTCAATCCATATTGAAGTATGTAGTCCTTAACCTTCTGCAGC